CCATCTCAGTAGCAGATGAACTTAGCAGTTCCCCAAAAATCCTTTCGCTACCATCACGGAATAAAAGCCAAGAGTGCACCATATCCTTTGGACCCTGAGATCCAAGAAACAGAAAACAGTGACACTGGAGGAACAACCCAGGAGGGGTAGAGGAGCAGCAGCAACAGAACCAAGAGCCACAGTACCAAACAGAGTGGTGGACTTCACAGTCCACGGAGAAGTAAAACTGGGAGGCTGACTTGTAGAGTGGGGTGCCTCCAAGCACTGAAGTAAGGAGCTCAATCTGCTGGCCCGATGAACGGGCTGAGGTTTATAGCCGAGTTCACTGCTGTTGTTGGTAAGTGCCGTCAAGTCAGTTCTGACTCATAGCGACTCAGTGTGAGGTTTCCAAGAAGCAGCTGGTAGAACCACTGCCAACCTTGTGGTTCACAGTCCAGTGCTGATCCTACAGCACCACACCAGGTGTCCACTGTTGTTGTTAAGTGCATTCAAGTCAGTTCCTGTATGGGGTTTCCAGGACTCCAGGACATTTACTAGGAGCCCTAAAAGAGCTTTGTCCACCACTCATCTGTCAGTTTGTCATACTGTGGTGGCCTGTGAGTTGCTGTGATTCTGAAAGCTATGCCACTGGTATTTTAAATACCAGCCAGGACACCCATGGTGGACAAGTTTCAGATGAGCTTCCAGACGAAGACATACTAGGAAGGAGGAGTGACAAACTACTTCCTAATATTTAGTCACTGAAAACCTTATGAATAGCAGAGAAACACTGTCAAGTGGCTGGAAAATGAGCCGCTCAGGTTGGAAGGCACTGAAAATGCAACTAGGGAAGAGCTGCCTCCTCAAAGAGAAGTTGACCATGATGACGCGAATGGAGTAAAGCCCATGGGACCTTCATTTGCTGATGGGGCACAACTCAAATTGAAGTGAAACAGCTGGTAACATCCATTGAAAATTGGAACACAGAATGTATGAAGTATGAATATGGGAAAATTGGAAGTTGTCAAAAAAAAAAAGGAACACATAAACATCGATATCTTAGGCATTAGTGATCAGAAATGGACTGGTATTGGCCATTTTGAATCTGACAGTCACAAGGTTTACTACGCAGGAAATGACAAATTGAGGAGGAATGGTATTGCATTCATTGTCAAAAAGAACATATCCAGATCAGTCATGAGGTACAATGCTGTCTGTGACAAGATAATATTCATGTGCTTACAGGAAGTACAGTTAATATCACTATTATTCAAATTTATGCACCAACCACTAAAGCCAGTGAGGATGAAATACAACTCTATGAACTTCTTCAATCTGAAATTGATCAAACATGCAATCAACATGTATTGATCAGGACTGGTGATTTGAATGTAAAGGTTGGGATCAGTAGTTGGAAAATATGGCCTTGGTGATAGAAATGATGCTGGAGAACGCATGATAGAAATCTGCAAAACCAATGATTTATTCATTTCAAATACCTTCTTTAGACAGCATAAGAAAGACTACACACATGAACCTCACCAGATGGAATACACAGAAATCAAATTGACTACATCTGAGGAACGAGACAACGGAAAAGCTCCATATCACCAGTCAAAACAAGGCCAGGGGCAGACTGTGGAACAGACAATCAATTACTCAAATGCAAAATCAAACTGAAGCTGAAGAAAATGAAAACAAGCCCACGAGAGCCAAAATATGACCTTGAATATATCCCACCTGAATTTAGAGATCATCTGAAGAATAGATTTGACACATTAAACACTAAAGACTAAAGACCAGAAGAGTTGTGCGCTAACATCAAGAACATTATACATGAAGAAAGCAAAAAGTCATTAAGAAAACAAGAAAGAAGGAAAAGGTCAAAATGGATGTTAGAAGAGACACTGAAACTTGCTCTCCAGCGTAGACATGCTAAAGCAAATGGAAGACATGAGGAGGTACAAGAGCTGAACAGAAAATTTCAAAGATCAGCTCGAGACGATTAAGCCAAATATTACAACAAAATATGCAAAGATCTGGAATCAGAAAACCAAAAAGAAAGAACACACTCAACATTTCTCAAGCTGGGTGAACTGAAGAAAAAATTCAAGCTTTGACTTTCATTATTGAAAGATTCTCTGGGCAAATTATTGTATGATGCAGAAAGCATCAAGAGAAGATGGAAGAAATACACAGAGTCACTGTACCAAAAGGAAATGGTTAATGTTCAACCATTTCAAGAGGTAGCATATCATTAAGAGCCAGTGATATTGAAGGAGGAAGTCCAAAGTGCATTGAAGGAACTGGAAAAGAACAAGCCACCAGGAATTGATGGAATAAAAATGGAAAACTTTCAAGAAAGTGAGGCGGCACAGGAGGCACTAACTCATCTATGTCAAGAAATCTGGAAGACAAATATCTGGCCGACTGATTGAAAGAGATCCGTATTTGTGCCCATTCTAAAGAGAGGTGACCCAATGGAATGTGGAAATCATCCGACAATATCTTTGATATCCCATGTGAGTTAAGTTTTACTAAAGGTAATACAGAAACGGCTGCAAACATACATTGACAGAGAAATTCCAGAGGTTCAAGCAAAATTCAGAAGAGGCCGTGGAACAAGAAATAGCATTACTGATGTCCGATAGATCTTGGCTGAAAGCAGAGAATATCAAAAAGATGTTTACCTGTGCTTTATTAACTATGCAAAGGCTTTCGATTGTGTGGATCATGACAAGCTATGGACAACATTGTGAAGTATGAGTATTCTGGAACACTTAAGTGTGCTCATGAGGAATCTGTACATGGACCAAGAGGCAGATGTTTGAAAAGAATATGGGAACAGTGAATGGTTTAAAATTAAGAAAGGTGTATGACAGGTTGTAGTCTTTCACAATACGCATTCAACCTGTATGCTGAGCAAATAATCCGAGAAGCTGGGTTATATGAATAAAAACGTGTCATCAGGATTAGAGAAAGACGCATTAACAACCTGCGATATGCAGACGATACAACCTTGCTTGCTGAAAGTGAAGAGGACCTAAAACATCTACTGATGAAGATCTAAGACCACGGCCTTAGGTATGGATTACATCTCAATGTAAAGAAACAAAAATCCTCACCACTGGACCAATAAACAACATTTTTATCAATGGACAAAAGACTGAAGTTGTCAAGGACTTGATGCTTCTTGGATCAACTATCCACACTCACGGAAGCAGCAGTCAAGAAACCAAAGGACGTATTGCATTAGGCAAATCTGCTGCACAAGACCTTTTTAAAGTATTGAAGAGCAAAGATGTCAGCTTGAGGACTAAGGTGCACCTGATCCAAGCCATGGTATTTTCAATAACCTCATATGGATGCAAAAGCTGGACAGTGAATAAGGAAGACTATAGAAGAACTGTTGCTTTTGAGTTACGGTGTTGGAGGAGAATATTGAAAGTGCCATGCGCTGCCAAAAGAACCAAGATTTGTTTTGGAAGAAGTCAGCCAGAGTGCTCCTTGGAGGCCAGGATGGCCAAACTTAGTCAATCATACTTCGGACATACTGTCAGGAGGGACCAGTCACTGGGGAAGGATATCATGGTTGATAAGGTGGAGGGCAAGAGAAAAAAGAAGAAGACCCCCAATGAGATGGATTGGCCAGGTGGTAGCATCGATGGACTCAAGCATGGCAATAATAGTCAGGTTGGCCCAGGATCGGGCAGTGTTTCAGTCTGCTGTGCACAGGGTCGCTATGAGTTGGTACTGACTCGATGGCACCTAACAACAAGAACAACAAAAGAGCTTTGTAACACTGCTAGAGGATGGTAAAGGCCAGACTAAGGGGTCAAGATTCAAAGTGAGGCTGTCCTGTGACCTCATCTTTATGACCTGTTAAAAGCTTCCCTTAAAAAAAACAAAAAAAACCCCAAAAAACCCATAACTGAGTATGGTGACTGAGTTCTGTGTGATCATTGCAACAAATTATCAAATCCAGACAAGAAGCTGGAATGCTGTGGGGGAAATGTCCTGAGCTACTATTATAGGGACATCCATTTTAGGTAACTGGCTAAAAGTAGCCAGCCCTTGATTAAAATTGTATGTATACAGAGCCCTGGTGTGCCTCTGTGGGATAATGCACTGGACCCCAAGGTCGGTTTGAACCACAAGGTTGGCAGCACAAACAGCTGCTTCTCAGGAACGCTATACAAGGTCACCATGGGTTGGAACCAACTTGATGACACCTAACAACAACATATATATACTGAAAATAAATCAGTGAGTCAGGGACATGGAATAACTCGAAATTATGGAAAGTCAAGTTTCGGGAGGCAAGATGGTTGGGGTCTGTGCACAGCAATCTCTCGAGAAATACCCTCTTGTGGCATCTTAAGTTTGAAAGATGCTACATGAACACATGGTTACGAATTGGGCTGTGAACCGCAAGGTCAGCAGTTTGAAACTACCAGCTGTTCCGTGGGAGAAAGATGACGCTTTCTGCTCCCATAAAGATTTACAGCCTCGGAAACCCTGTACAGGGTCACTATGAGTCGGAACCGACTCCACGGCACATAACAACAACATCATGAACACAAGTATTGAAGACTTAAGGGCAGCTCAGGGATCCTCTTCCATAGATTTCTGGGAAGTGGCACACTGCTTTTAAAAGCTTCGTTTAGATGTTGGCTCAAACTACAAAGAGCAAGGGAAAAAATCCAAATTGAAACATTAAAAAAAAAAAAAAACACCTCTCAATGAGCTTCTTCATTCTCCCCATGAATATTGATTGACCAAATGCCTGTCTCATCTTTTCACTTCTTCACATGAAGAAATATCGGACAGCATCTGACTGTTGACACAGTACACGCACATACTAAGCTCTCTGACTGAGCCAAGACAAGAAGGAAAAAGGTCCACATAGAAAGTCTTAACATTTTGTCTATTAACAAAAGAATCCTCAGAGTACTATTCAAACCCACATTGCTCAGAATAAAAATTTTAAAAGGGTCAGAGAGTAACAGCAAGATACATACCCCATAAGGCAGCACAAAGAATCTCAGAGTTAAATCTCTTCTTGTATTTACGAATCTCGGGTGTGTCACTCTGTGGCCTAGTGTTGGTGGGGTTTACATTGACCACTGAGCCCTTCCGGGTGGGATCTTGCCTTATGGCTTCTGGTCTTATTCCATCACAGGAAAATCCCACTAAAATATAGCACATTTGAAATTATTTTCTACACACACAAACATCATGTCTCCCTCCACCCGCCAATTCATCTCAAGTGCGTATTTATAAGCAAGAACCATCACTTGATTAAGGAAAAGAAATCTGTAAGAAATGTACATGGAGAAAGGAAACTGACTATGCGTTCATTGCAAATAAGGTAACACAAGCATGATGGGAATAGTTTCTACACCCAGAGTCTGTGCCTGCATACCACCACCCTGCCACGCCTCCGCCAATTACAGAGCAACTCAAAGTGAGTGACGCCTGCTTTTTCAGCTGCTTTCTTATTGCTACTTTACTTACCCACAGAAGTCACTGTTGTCCCACTAGATGGAGAAATCTGTAGTAATCTGGGGTCTATAAAAGGTGTAAAGGAGGAGGAAGATTTGTGTTTCTGGAGTGTGCTACTAGCGGACTGAGTCTGCAATGTAAATTTCAATTTTATTAATACAAATGACATTAAGAGAGGAACATAAAAAGCATTTTAACTCACTTCTGTGCTACACTATTTCCCACTACATAGTCCCTGCACCTTTGACATCATCCCCCCCCCTATAAAATAAAATAAAATTAAAATGCACTAAGGACCCTCTGTGTGGGCATGCCACAGCCGACGACAGGCTATTCAACCTGGAACTAGGGGCAGAGTTTTCATTTCTGAGACAGGAATTTACCACCCCAAAACAGAAATGTTGCAAACTATGAATACAATCTAAAGACTTCCAGTTTTAGAAAATTTATCATTATGAGGAAAACTGCTAAAAGCAGGCTGAATGTCTTGACCTCAATTCACCAATCTCTAACTTTATCTCATACACAAAAAATCCAATGCATTTATGCAGGAGGACTGGCAAATCTGAATTTTGAAGTCATTGGTTTTACATTGAGTCTCTTGCCAGAAAAACTAGAGAAGCTTTGCCTTCCATCCTTTAAGAGACGTTAACTGTCAAACCCGTATCACACAAGAGCTCGTTAGTGACAGGTGCACACGACAAAATCAAGCATATCCTTCTGTTTTTCTATGAGTTCTAGTGTTTTGGTTAATAATGAAACTTAAGACAAAAACAAAACAAAAAATTAAAACAGAAAACAACTAAAAACCAAAACCAAAACAAAACAAAACAAAAAACCACAAAGAAAGTGAAACAAATTGTTAAGTGAAAATGTAATGACAATTAAAGCAAAACAAACAGAAAAAATAAACTTGCCAGTTTAGTGAGTTAAGGGTTATAGTAAAAATACTGCACATCAGAGCAAAATGGAGCAAAGTTTAAAATATGAGTATAAGGAGGGATGTGAGTGTAGGTGAGATTTATCAAGGGAGAAAAAAAGAAAATGTCTGATATAAGTGGTTTTGGTCTGGTGCCATCCCAGCCCCTGCCTCCACCCATGGCACCTGGGAGTCCTCACTCTCCTGCGCCCCCTCCCGCCTAAGCTCACCAGGCTGCGCTCATCTCACCTGACACATCTGCCTCCTTGCAGGCTCCCCTCCCCAGAACCATGAGTCAGCGGCCAATCCAGCCGATGGCCAATCTGATGCCGACCCTGCCTTGGAAGCAGTCAACTTGCCCCTGGCTCCTGAAGGGGAAAGGATTATTCTGATTCTTTCTAACAAGGGAACCAAAACAGGAGCAGGTGGGCAGTTACATGTTTTCAACTGGCTGAAGCTACATGTCAGTTTCAACTTCGCTCAACTGTTGGGGAGACACCTTTAGTCCAGACCTCCCATGAAATAGAATCACGAGTTTCACTAAGGGGTGCTCAAGGAGTGTTTGGCACTGTGTTTGGGCATACCCCGGTCCCAAATATCACCCCTCTGGCACCCAGGCCGCGTACCACAGTCAAGCCTTTGAATAAGCACACAGGAATCCCCATACAAAGTTTTACATGAAAAGCACTCACAGATCTTTGCCCTTCTTGCTTATCATCCTAACGTTCTATGTTTCCCCCCAAAGCATCTGGCCTTTTCTTAAAACTGAATGATTGTGAATCTCAAGTAAAGAAATCCTTTGAATAGGGATGGCAAAGGCAGATAAGCATAACCAACCAACAGTCCTTCCCTCAAAAAGCAAAACGAAAAAAGCAAAAAGAAATCCAGCCCTTTTTGAAGGAGAACCCAGTACAAGACAACTCTGGCCAGATAAGGCCAAAGTCTGCTTAACCAAATTTTCCTGTACTTTATTTGGTGGATTTACAATAATAATAACAAAAAAATAAAATGGGAAAAAAAAAAAAAAAAACAAAAAGAAAAGGCAGATTCCACAAATGACTACAAGAATTTCATGTCAAATACATAATGGGTCTGAGAACACAGCCAATATTCGACTCATATTTTTAAAAGATAAATTGAATAAAGAAAGCCATGCAACTAAACTTGTCTAGAGAAAGGTAAATAGTGAACTGGCAAGTCTGGAGGGAAACTGATCTAAGGTTAAGGGATTTGTATGCAGATCTGAAACATGTTACTCAGGGGATGGGGGAAAGGCAGGTGACAGGAGAAAGCAGGCTGGGGAGAGGAGGGCGAGGGGCATTGGAAAGATCTCCTCTGCAAACTAGCTACTAGGCAGTGCTGGTCTAACCCTCGGAAAGCAGCCAGCTGTGGTGCGAGACATACCTCATTAGTAGTGAGCTTGTCCTGGGGTGTCTGTGGGGACATGGTGGGTGTCGGCTGGCTGGAGGATGGGGAGGAGGAGGTGGAGGAAGTGGAGGAGGAATGGCTTTGCTGTAAGAGATCTGGCAAGAGGTGAATGCGACCCGCAAAGCCATTGCTCTCATGATGGCTGGCACGCTTTTGGTCAACTGTAGTCTGCAGAAAAAACAGGCACACTTGTCTCGCTCAAGTGCTGCTGAAACAGCCTATGACCCTACTGATAACTGATTTTGCTGAAGGTGTTGTGTGGCTTTCCGATCCAGTTACAACCTCAAGGAAAATCCAACGGAAATTCTCCTGAGTTGCTCCCACATCCTCACTGAACGCCTAAACGGAGCTAATGCAATTCAAAGTACCTCATCTGGTGGCCCCACAATCTCAAAAGTGAGTGCTTAATCTGTTTATGATCTACTACACTGGCTTCTGTTACCAAAGCTATGATTCAAGTTTTTTTTTTTTTAATCTTTCTGTGTAGCACACTAACTAGAACTAGCAAGTACCCTTGTTGATTCTCTGAATCCTGGTCTTTTCCATGTTCTTCCCACTTTCCATCCAAATACATTGTCATGGCAACAAAACACTCAGGGAAAACTCCAAATACCAGATTGGTGCCCTGGGCTAATGAAATAAAGAAACATCACCCTTTTTAAAAGTTTAAGCTTAGAAATGAACAGACAGTTGTTCAACTCAGTAATCCAAACCGAGCATATCTGGGTGAAATGCATTGAATTATTCAACAAGAGAGACCTCCCAACCCCTCTGGCTCTCCCTGAAGACCATGATAAAGCCCTTCCTGGCTCCTCGCTCGCCCCCTGGTATAGCACTGCAGACATTTAGAGTTGAAAAGCTCTCTTCAGAGCAAGCATGGCTGCTCTGCTAAGGGCCCGGTGGGTTCTGCTTCCTCACTCTGTGAGTCTGTTGAAGGACTCCCTGTGGCTTTTCTACTGCTCAGACACAGACTGTGAGACTCAGCGTGGTGCTTGAATGAGGGCTGCCGCAAAACATGCAGAGCAGCAGCAGTATGGGGTGGAAGACTGCTAGCTAACCTTGGCATGCAGCACACGCCTGCCTCCCTAGCCCCCGGACACTCTACCCTCTCTCTGGGACTTGTTAACATGGAAACAGATGATGATGTAGAAACAGCATGAGTGAGTGGATGAGCAAGTGGGTTAATGACTACAGGAAAAGCTCAGCCTCTGACAACGGAGAAGACATAAGTACCTGGCGGACAATCAGAGTACCCTCCTTGGACGGGGTCATGGCAGGTTCACTTTCTATATCGTCATGGACAATCATGGTTTTCACCGATTCTGTTTCACCATTGCTCAAATTCAGAGATGACCTACTGAGACAAAACGCAGGAGGTTAAGGGCCCAAATCCCACAAGACAAGGATACTCTCATAAAGGCATAAGGGAAGCAAGCGCTTAGCTTTTTAACTCTGTTTTTGAGAAAAAACTTGGACTATTTAGTTAAAGAAGTTAAAACCCAACTGAAATTTCCCTTTTATCAGAGTCTGAAATTAAACAGGGAAAAAAAAAAGGAAAGACATATTGGGGTACTGAGGGAAGGCGATGTTCTACAAATGAAGACAAGGGGTTAAAAACACAAGGGCTGGCTATAGCTTAATCCATAAGTGAATGTTAAATCTTCATGGAAACCTATGTCTAGGAAAAACTGTCTGGTCCCAAGTGGAAAGGCGGCTAGGAGGGAACACCCGCATCCTCTCTAAAATCCACCAAGGACTGACGCTGCTCTGGTGTCCTCTGGTCCTGAGGTGGACTCATCAGCTGCTTCTTGTTCAACATCATCATCTTCTTCATCTGTTGTCCCTGACTCCTCACTGGATGAAGAGTAGTCGGTCACTTTGTGAGGTGGTCGCACATCGTCTACTGCTCGAAGTTCTTTGGCCAATGCCGTCAAATCCTATGGCACAGGGCAGAAGAAAGAGAATAAGGCAAGGGTGGGGAATGCCCGGTCCTTGGTCCATATTGTTGTTGTTAATGCCTTCAAATTGGTGCTGACTCATAGCAACCCTGTGAAGGGTTTTTCCAAGGAGCGGCTAATGAATTTGAACAGCCGACCTTGCAGTTCAAACCAACCTTGTGGTCCAGTGCATTATCCCACTGCGCCACACCAGGAGGCCCATAAAATCATTTGGTCTGGCCCTACCAAGGCAACCACAGTTCCAGCCATCACATTAGGGGTGAGTTAATGAAGTGTTTGACCAAATATAGCAGGCTAATTCTTAAGTTGATAATTTTGTATGGTCTGCGAATGATGTTATAAATTTTTCCAGAAAAAAGGCGTCCCACCCCTGAAATAAGGCAAACGGAAAAAGAATGGGAAGAAAAGAGAAAAAGAATGAGAAACCCTTTACTGTAGTTATCAGTAAAACAGCCACACTGTCAGCTTTGTAAAACAGTTTTGTAGGGTATTTACCAGTTAGAGTGAGCTCTTACAGTTTTCTGAAACAGTGGTCAAATAAGCTGAATACAGTTCAAACCCCACAATAACAGAATATAAGACTCTGCTATGATAATCTCATAGTATTGCTCTGAGATAATCTCATAATGCCCCCCAGTATAAGATGTTATTCTACATGAACAAATATATGTAGACAGATCCTTTGGACATTGTTGTAAAGATGCCTGCCTACATGACAAAGTCTTCTTTTAAAGGGATTAGCTAGAGTGCAAGCTTTTAATTAGACTGGCTTCAGTTAAGTTTTTATTTTCACTTCCAACGTTTATTTCAAGATGTTTCAAACCTACAGAAAGTGTGAAAGAAGAGAGGTGGGCAGCAGAGTATCGTTCAATAGATCCTGTTTTCCCAATTGTTAACAACTTGCCACATTTATTTAAAAGGTGATGGGGGAGTGGGTGATTGCTTTGGGCAGGAAGCTAGGTGGCCTTTGAGGTCTTCCCTTTGTGCCTTACTCACAATTTCCCCACAATACCTCCAATAACTATGGACATCAGAAAGGAAAAAAATCCATAGTCAAAGTTATTTTTAAAGGAGCTCCTTTTCTTTCATACTGAGGTACTTTCAGACTTGGCCAGATGATTATTTATACTTCATATTTTTGTGCAAAATACACCTAGTTAGGGATTTTATTTTAAAATGATGACTTTTAAAAACGTAAGCTATATAGGTTGTGTTGGGTTTTTTTTCCCCCCTTTAGTAGTTTCAACTTTCCTTCATTTCCTCAGTTCAGAATGGCTTTCTTGCCTAAGCTCAAGCCTCTGACAGAACTATGATCAAGCGTTGGGCCTTGAGTCTTGCTGTTATTCCATGATTACAGCTGTAGCTTTTTTTGATGTTACTCAAAAGATGTACTTAATAATTTGGAAAAAACAACAACAACAAAAAAAAAACACAGCATGCCACAAATTTTGTGTGCTATAAGCTGAAGCTAAAAGTTGAAAGCTTTAAATTCTTCAGGAAAAAAAAGCAAGCAGAAGAAGGAAAAGGCATGCATGTAAACTGAATCCCAAGGCAGTTAGTCATTGCTATGATGCAGAATTCTTTATCGGGAGGGCTTACCACGTCACCCTGCAGTACAGTGGTGGTTTCATTTGGGTGCCAGAAGCCATCATTGATGAGGAGAGCACAGTATGAGGAAGCACGGCAGAAGGAAGAGAGGGAAGAAGTTCAGAAATCAATTCAAGTAGGAAATAAAAATCCCGACAGATTTAAAATCCCACATTGTGGACATGGTCACATGGCCTATTAGTAATACAAAGACTGCAGGAGAACTGTGAGAAGCAGATACACCTGTCACTCCAGATACCAAAGGGCAGAATTTAAGCAACAAGTTTAAGGTGATTTAAAAAAGTAATTCTAAAAGCCAGTATTGTCAATGCCCAACTCATTTAAGAATAAATGAAATTAAAGTATTAAGAGATTAAAAAACAAAAACAAAAAAACCCCAAGCCCCCCATCCCATGGGTTTTTTTTTTGGGGGGGGGAGGGAGTCTATTTTCTTAAAGAAAATTTCATTAAACAAAAATGACATGTTGTACTGTGTTTCCATGTAAGATTTACAGTACACAAAACATACAGCTGAACATTAGCAAAACCATATTATTCATCTATTGCTTTCTACAGGATATAAATCAAGTAATGCACGTAGACACGAAGGTGTCCGGGATTTAGGTCGTTCCTTCGGATCCCTCAAATTGGTAAAGGGGGCCAAAAGGGGGCCAACAAAAATGCTTATAGGCTTCTCAACTAGGTATTTTAAAGGGAAAATATCATTCAAGCCTGAAACAAGTAAAACTGATTTTGCATAATCCTTACAGCAGGTTTGAGAGGTCTAAAGACTTCTTTTTTATCTTCAGGTTTTTTTGCTGCATTTTCAAGACGCTGAGATGGAGAGCCTTCAGATTTTGAGGATGCTGGTAAGTTCAAAAGAGACAAAGAAAGACAGAGATATATTAATCCATTCTAAGTGCTACAAAGTGTTCTAGCCTCTCCAGTCCTTTGCTGCCTTTCTCCCCACCTGCCTTCAATTTTCACCCTCACTTCTAATAGGGTCTTCCAAATGCAGGTCTGAACCTACATGTGGACAAAAGGGGGACCAGGGGGACCCAAGATATCTCTAGTCATCTTTCTGATTCCTTACTTGAAGTCCTCCATTATTACAGTCTACTTATGTGTTCACAATCAGTACCTAGCTATACCGTTATGTTGTTGTTGTGAAGTGCTGCTGAGTTGGTTCAGACTTATAGCGACCCTGTATAGGGTTTCCAAGGAGTGGCTGATGGGTTTGAACTGCTAACCTTGTGGTTCACAGGTCCAGTGCTGATCCTGCAGCACCGCACCAGGACTCCATTCTGTCAAGAGTATGTTAAAGTTACCAACACTGATAAGAGCACAGGCCCTGGGGTCTGAAAGAAGTGGGTTCAAATATCAGTTCTGACATTTATCTAATTATTGTTGTTGTTAAGTGCCGTCAAGTCAGGTTCTAACCCATAGTGACCCTATATAAGGTTTCCAAGGAGCAGCCAGTGAACTTGAACTATAGGCCTCCCGGTTCAAAGTGGGCTTGGCAGTCCAGCGCATTAACCATCAGCACCACACCAGGACTCCTTTAGGTAATTACTTTCCACAAATTACCTAATCTCACTAAATTATAGTTTCTTGAAGGTACAAAATGGTGATTTAATGATATATATACCTCTTGGGGTTCCTATGAGAATTGAATAAGGCCATAAATATCAAGTGTCCAGTACTAGGTCCCTGGAAGCTCTTAAAAGTTAGCTCTTTATTACTGAAATTAAGATTACAGTAAGTTTTATTAGCAGCCTAGAGTGGAACTTTGTTTTGTGAAATGCAGCTGTATGTAAACCATGTGTTTTCCCATGACTAAAGACTTCCCATAAACAGACCAGAGCCCAATACCACTAATGGGGGAAGGGATAAAGAAAGCCATCCTACATCTCACTCTGAAGCGCTCCCCGGAGCCACTCTGAGACCCAGGGTGGGACCCAGGCTGGGATCCTGAGTTACTGGACCCCGAGGAGCTGCCACTGCCGGGCCTGGGCACCAATTTCTCCACTCTTTCCCACAGCAGCCTGGGCTCAATACTGCTGTTAGGAACAAAAGAGAGAGAGAGAGACATAAGTGTTAATGCATTATTCCAAGACTTAGAATCAAAGGATAAACACGTGTATGATGTCTTTGAATGTAGGTAAGACAAAAAAAGCCTATAAGTAGCATTTAACATCAAATCCACCAAGTATCAATGCAACATTATTCACAGACTTTGTCTCATACTTTAAACTAAAAATACTAAACTGTTGTTGTTCAGACTCACAGGACCCCGTGTAGGGTTTCTAAGGAGCAGCTGCTGGGTTTAAACTTTGTGATTATACTACAGCACATCAGGACTCCTGTCATTAGCAGAAGTAAAATTCTCATTAGGTGCTAAGAGAAAACATTACTTGTCCAGTCTAAAGGAATCATTGTAACTATAAACTTGGTTTATAGTTAAACTTGTTCCCAGGCTGCTCACTCATCCATCACTGTTCTTGAAAACTGACATCTTTGAATATATTTCTCTGCAGAATGTTACAGAAAGCGTGGGCTGTGATGGATGTACACACACCACAAGTTTCCCAGGTTAGAATTAATGACTTATTCACAGATGACGACCACAGCCCAACTGATCATGTAAAGAGTAAGAGGGGTCCTGGTAATATTAGGGTTATCTCATTTACTTCTAATCATACCAACATTCTAAGCACAGATTTCTAACTTTAGATAGATGTTCGGAGATGATCAAGGTACTGAACATTCAAAGTAACCTTTTCCTCCTCTACGTCCTATTATCTGTGCTGTGTAATATAGTAGCCCCTGACTGGTGGTTGGTGGTGGTGATGTGCCATCGAGTCAGCTCCAACTCATAGGCTGTGAATCTTTATGGTACCAGAAAGCCTCATCCTTTCTCCCACAGAACTGTTGGTAGATTAGAACTGCTGATCTTTTGGTTAGCAGTCCCACACATAACCACTACACTACAGGGACTCCTTAGCCACTTATTCAGCACTTGAAAAGTGACTGGTACACTTTATTGTTATTACGTGCCATCGAGTTGGTAACAACTCATAGCCACCCTATGCACAACAGAAGAAAACACTGCCCAGTCCTGGGCCAACATCACAATCTTTGCTACATGTGAGCTCAGTGATGCTGATACTGTGCCAAATCCATCTCGCTGAGGGTCTTACTCTTCTTCTCTGACTCTCCACTTTACTAAACATGATATCCTTCTCCAGTGACTAGTGCCCCCTGACAATATGTCCAAGTATTAGAGATGAAATCTGGTCATCCTGGCTTCCAAGGAGCACTCTGGCTGAAACTTCTTCCAACACAGATCTATTTGTTCTTTTGACAGCCCATGGTACTTTCAATATTCTCCTCCAACACAACTCAAATGCATCAATTCTTCTACGATCTTCCTTACTCAATGTCCAACATTCACGTGCCTATGAGGTTACTGAAAATACCATGGCTTGGGTCAGGTGCATCTTAGGGCTAAAAGTAACATACATCTTTGCTCTTCAACACTTTAAAAAGGTCTTGTGTAGATTAGTCCAATGTCGTTTGATTTCTTGATTGCTGGTTATATGGGTGTTGACGGTTGATCAGAGCAAAATGAAGTCTTTAACAATTTCAGTTTTTTCTCCATTTATATGGATGTTGTTTATTGGTGCAGTGGGGTGGATTTTTGTTTTCATTACATTGAGGTACTACCAAAACCAAAGGCTGTGCTCTTTGATCTTCATCAGTAAGTTATTTTAAGTCGTTTTCACTTTCAGCAAGCAAGGTTGTATCATCTGCATATCACAGGTTGTTAATAAGTCCTCCTCCAATCCTGATGCCATGTTTTTCTAATTTCTAAAGAAATTAATTTGAATCCATTTTTAATTACTTTAAATTTATATTTAAATAGCTCCATGTGGCTACTGGTAGCGTAGTGGTTACGAATCGGGCTGTGAACCTTAAGGTCAGCGGTTCAAAACTACCAGCCGCTCCGCAGGAGAAAGATGAGGCTTTCTACTCCCGTAAGGATTTACACCCTCGGAAACCCTGTACAGGGTCGCTATGGGTCGGAAACGACTTGAAGGCACTTAACAACAACATGTGGCTACTAAGGAGCCTAGGTTGCACAGGGGGTTGCGTGTTGCACTGTTAACTGAAAGGTCAGCAGTTCAAATCCACCAGTGGCTCCTCAGCAGAAAGAATGAGGCTTTCTGCTCTCATAAAGATTTATGGCCTTGGAAATCCTACAAAGAGTTGCTCTGAGTGGGGATTGCCTGGATGGCAGTTGGTTGTTATGCTTTTTTATTTAATGTGACTAATGGCTGTTATACTAGAGGCAGTGGCTCTAGAGGCTACAAAAGATATTATTTGGTTAATTTACCAGCTTACTGTCAGTCAACCATCATCAATAACCGGTGATTCTTATACTGTTCCAAAGATCTTATAAAGTCCTTTAGGTCAGGCCTTTAGATCTGATAAGGCCCGTGAAATCATTTGGTCTGGTCCTGCTAAGGCAACCGCAATTCCAGCCATCACATTCGGGATGAGTTAATTAAATGTTTGACCAAATAGAGCAAGCTAATTTTTAAGTTGTTAATTTTGTATGGTCTGAGAACGATGTTACAAATTTTGGCAGAAAAAAGGTTCCCCACCCAATTTAGGTAGTTAAGTGCCCTTATATTAAAGTTACCGTTAAACTCTTTTCTCTTCCCCGTTGCTCCCTCTACTTATTTTTATGTTGTTGCTAAGCGCTGTTGAGTCAGTTCCGACCCACAGTGACCCTGTATAGGGTTTCTGAGGAATGGGTGGTGAGTTTAAATTGCCACCCTTGTAATTCAAACTGACCTTGTGGTCCAGTGCATTATCCTTCAGCACCACTCATTCTTTTTTTTTTTTAAGTTTTTATTGTGAATTGAGTGTAAGTTTACAGGGTAGATCATCAGTTTTACATTCAACAAATGATATACTTTGTTTCATTACAATAATTAGAATCCCCTCCATGTACCATAAGTTGACAGTATTTCTCTATTCATTTTAGCTCTTTTCTTTTTAAACACTCATGCATATATAATAATTTATATCACCAAAGGGCATATTCTGCAAGTCTGCCTCCTGGTCACCAGCTCTCAGTCCTTCTCTTCCCATGAATCTAGAGTCCTCAGCTGTTCCCTCTCTCCATGTCCCCATCTCTGCCTCCATCTCTGGTGTCGCTGCTTCTCTGGATAAGGTCCCGTATTCCACTTGTGCTCTTCTCCCTTGAGGGTCCTAGAGTCCTCTGTTTCTGGACTGTAAGATTAACTACTCCCCCGTTTTTGTTACAAAACTTCTGCCTTTACAATTGAGCACCACTCATTTCTTATAGGGGTCATTTCATTTACGGAGCCCTGGTGGTGCAGTGGGTTAATCACTGGACTGCTAACCACAAGGTCTGTTGCTCAAACCTATCACCTGTTGTAAGAAAGAAAGACAAGGCTGTCGACTCCTATAAAGATTTATCATCTGGAAAATCCTAAGGGACAGTTCTATCTGTCCTCTGGGGTCGGTTACAAGACAGAATTGACTTGATAGCAGCTGGTGTTAGTTATCATTTTAAAATTATTCAAATACAGCAAGGTCCTGGTGTGGTGCTGTAGGATAAGCTCTGGACTGCTAACCATAGGGTCAGTGGTTCAAATCCAGCAGTTGCTCCTTGGAAACCCTCACAGGGTAGCTCTGAGTTAGAACCGACTCAACAGCACTTATCAACACTAGACAACCACCCAACTCAGACTTCTCTTTTTCTACAGGCCGCTCTGATGTTACTTAGGCCACTGCATTTTACAGCAGCTCTACTTTTGCAACTGATAATCTCTTTGCTTCAGAACTTCAATGCTTATGAACATTGCTGCATAAACAGATGTAGGAAACTACCCAGTAAACCCGTTCTTAACTTCCACTCTTCTTTTACCTCGTGGAGTTTCTTTGACCTGCTTGGCTGTTTTGCTGTCCACTGCCCTGCAGTGGAGAATCCCGACGGGACAGAACAGGTGAACGAGACGTTGTCCTCACAGGAACCTTCAAGTAGAAAATGCAACCTTTCAATTATTGAAAACACGAGGCGGAGAAAAAAAAAAAAGTTTCCCTACCCAAACATCTTTTTAAAGCAGTCCTAATACGTTAGACTTACTACCAACCAATCCACCCCAACCCTGAACCTTCTCTGAACCTTCATGGACACAATGGGAAAAGAAAAAAAATTAATCAAAGGCATTTAAGGAGCCAATAAAAACAGCTTTTCTAGGCTTGGATCACACTTAAATGCTGTTTGGACTGAAGCTTGGTGGCAGGGGACATACAAAGTATTTTGCTGAGATAATGTGAGTGAGAATCAGGAGAATCGGCTCATAGAAATCAAATAATGATCTATAAATGGGTCAGCAGGAAGCAAAGACTGGCAAGAAGAAAATATTCAGAGGAAGCAAATTCTAAGTGGAGGAAAACAAAACTAAAATCTGTCTTTTTTAATTTCATCAATAAGTAACAAAGCTATAACAAAACAACCTTTAAGGAAAAAAAAAATCCTTTACTTTGAAACACTTATGTGAGTTATTAATTTTTTTCCTTCTTCTAAGCCCTTTTCTGAACATTTTATATTGGTTAGTGTTGCAAAATAAATCATTGCTTCAGTCTGCACTTAGAAGATGCTACAGTAAAAATGATGATGGACTTAGATCAAGAAGGATACTCAATGGAAGCATATAGTGAACCATAATACAAAGCTAATTGCCCACTTGCTGAATATAATTGCTTATCTATGGAACCTTCTTCCCACTGTAAAAAGTTCCTTCAAAATTTCTGCCCCTTTAATCTTGATGAAATTATCATGCCCTTAAATAAAACAAATAAATATATAAAAAAAATTTTTTTTTAAAGTAAGAAAAAGGAAAAAGAAGCACACATCTGTCTTTCTGCTTCTTACCCTTGGAGGCACCTCGTCACTGTCTGATCTAGACCAAGCCTTTTGGGTGGGGTCAGGTACTTCCGACTTAGAGTCAGAAGTCTGGCTTAGCACCTCACTGCGTGAAGGTGGACATGGGTCCTGAGAACGAAGATGGTGGTGTGCAAATTTGGGAGGAGAAGGGTCACTGAAGGAATGGGATCGCGAGACAGGGGAAACATTGTTCTTGAGAGATGCCAGGTGGGACCACTGTACCTTACAAGAAAACAGAACACAAAACATTCAAGGCATAAAACTGACTTTTCTAAGTCAATACCAAATCCAAAGCAGGAACTGGCAAAAGGGGAATGCAAACTGAGGGATGGGACAGCATTAGGTTAAGCCAAGCAGTAAAATAGTTACACTTGTAGGTGAAGAAGTGGTCAAGGTAACACAGTATGTAGAAAAGAACAAATGTACATTTACAAGGAAAACTCTTTTAATAGATAGATAAGCACACACAGATAGCAGTAAACATAGAGGTTGCCGAAGAAGAGCTTTAAAGGGCAGATGAAGTGTTACGTGCACATCTATGTCAAAGCAGACAGACAGGAGAAACAAAGAAAGGTTGAGACATCACTTGATAAAAGACAATGCCAAGCATGCAAACCTATCTATCCATCTTCACAATACTGGGCAGTGTAAGAATTCAGACCAAGAAACAACAAAACAGCACACTCAACAAGCAAAGACAAATTCCTAATGTTTTGACAGACTGTATCAATATAAATTAAAGACATTCAAATTTTCAAATAAATCAACAGCTTTCCTTCCCTCTCCCAAGCCTTACAATCCCAATTTGAGTTACCTCCATACATCCTCATACTAGTTACTTAAATAAAAAAATACAAAAAGAAATGTGATTTCTCTAGATATACTCAGTACTATGATTTCCCTTAATTGATTGCTGTTGGGATAGCTCTCTTACTTGATCAAATCAAGAAACATGATGATTACTTATCAATCAAGTACTTCAAAAAAGTTCGTGGAAAACGAAATTAAAAGACAACGGAAATTTTCTATTAACTTTCAAAGCCCCCAATATACCCAGTTGCTTTTAAACTGCGAAAACAAACTTGGAAATAGTCTATAAAATACATTCTTTAAATTATATAATTTTAAACCGGTCAATATTGTACATTTATCTAATTCTAGCAACATATCTAATACAGCAACATAATTACTGAAAACAGAAAATATCTAATCACAAGCGATACAACTTTTCCAAATGCAAGATTCAGAGTTAGTTCTAGATCTAGAATTTCTGTATTTTACAAGTGAGATTCTTCCAATCCCAAACTACCAAAACGTTTTAAGATTTCTCATTGGGACAGGCATGTGATTTAAAGTGCTACTTGTAATTATGATTTTAAAAACTGGGTTCTAACACAAATAGTGTTAAAACCTATAGTAGAAAAATTCCATCCAAAGTAAGTTAAGCAGGTAAATGTTTAGTCAAAAGCAACTTTAGAATAGAAGGAGGAAAAGGGAGACCATATTGATTAATTAGTCATGACTATAAAAATTAGTCTACATAATCCAGGAACTCTCATTTTCAAATTGCTTGCTCGTGGTCAGATACGACAAAAATTTTCTATTTTCTATTTTTCAGAACAAAAACTTTTATACTGGACCTTTCAAATATCTCTATACTGGCAAACAGTAAAAAGTTGTTACAAACAAGTCTGGTCAAACCCATTCAACTACTCCCTCCTCCCCCCTTGCCTTCTCTGTCTCTTTCCTCATACCTCCCTCCTGCTTTTTCCTTCCATTCTTTTTTCTCTTGAGTTGCAAATTTGCTGAGGTGTCAGCTCTTTTCTATACTCAAAAAGCCGTTTATCTCATGTTAACAATCCCTCCCACCACACCATTCCTTAACTTCAATACTGGTTCTTAACTCTTCTGTGTTGTGCTCTTTTCTTATAGGTTCAGGGAGATTGATTACTTACTATGTTGTTGTTGCTCAGTGCCATGGAGTCTGTTCTGACCCACAGTGACCCTGTGTAGGATTTCTGAGGAGTGACTGGTGAGCTTGATTCACTGACTTTGCAGTTCAAACCAGCTTTGCTGCACAGTGCATTAACCCACAGCACCACACCAGGACTCCCTGATTACTAAAGCTCTTAATTGAGCTTAAGAGTCTAAAGCTCTAAGGATCTCTGGTAGCACAGTGGTTACAAGTTGGGCTGCTAACCTCAAGGTCAGTAGTTCAAATCTGTCAGCTGTTCCAGGGGAGAAAGATGAGGCTTTCCAGCTTCTGTAGAGATTTACAGCCTCAGAAACCCTATGCAGGGTCACTTTAAGTCATAACCGACTCCAAGGCACATTACCACCACAACTACTTCTATCACAAAAACATGAATTTTTGTCCCCCAACACATGCAAACAAATGGAAGGACTGGTTGAAAATATTATAGACTACCTAGTTGGGTGAAAGATAATGGCTGAAAGTTTAGTTTTCAGGAAGAGAGTAGCAACCAGTACTCGAAGGATTTTTCACATGGCTAATCTTCATTGTTTACTGACGTCCCTCTCTTCTAACCACACCCCGCAGTTTTCCTATCTTGGCTGCTAACCTAGACAAGGTGGAATGCTGGTGCAGACCTGTTGAAAAATCATAACCTTCACCTTGACCTACTTCAGATAAAGGCAACCATAATGGACTCATTATAATCTTTCTTGGCTTTCGAACCCTTTGATAGAGTCCTTCTTTCCCCAGATGGACACTGTTCAAATGATGCGCATTTGAACAAAACAAACAATTCTACATGAAACTTCAAGGGAGCAATAGGCTCTCCAAAGCCCATTTGTGGAACTGGCCATGAGCAAGCATCACAGGTTAAAGGTCAGACTTTATAATGAGCTGGAAGAAAGGTATGTTAAAACAATGTTAATAATAAAGCTCTGGCTCTCCTTCCGTCTATCTATAATACTAACTGTCTAAAAACTAAACTAGAAAAATCTTTGTATTAAAATAAGGCAGCACCTAATTATGAAAACTAATCTGCGTTAGAGATGGTAAATGTTATGCTGGAAAAAAAAATACTGCTGAATTTAGATATTCTAAAAGCTTGCAAGGGAACTTTAAGACGTTCACAGAAAGTTTTCATTATTCTTCAACTCCATTTTTTGACAAACTTTTTGAAGCCCCTACATATAACAGAAATCTTTAAAATGAAACAAAACCAAAAAAAGGGGCCTGCTTTTCCTCTGAACTGACTGTATAACCTCTTTAATGAGTCCAAAATTATCACTGCTTGTTTCTTTCTGAATGTGGAATGAACCACATTGTTGATACCATAAGCAGGTCCACAGCTTGGTGAGCCATCACTTAAGTCTCCTCAACCCACAGCCGACTGTCTGTTGCTACCTGTGGCTCCGCTGGTCTCTGCAGGGCAGTGTGTACAGACTCGGAGTTGCCATTGGAAAAAGACTCTGATCTGGAAGGCACTGGAGGCTCCAAAACTCTGCCTGTCTGCTTAGACTGGGCTTCAGGGGAGCTGTGGTTAGTTTTCCTAAATCTATCTTCCACCTGCATCAGAGAATTAGAAGACATAACTCATTGTTAGTAAGAGAAAGCAGAAATAGCCAAGCCTGAAAAGTGGGCAGACACTCAAAAGAAATTCTTTTGTTTCATTGCTGCTACAAGAACAGGGCAGCAACTGGGGAGGAAAGAGGGGTGGGAACGGATAAAGCAAGACTACAACTTGATTCAGGAAAAGGAAAGTACTTGAGAAGATCAAAATTAAGTAGGGAGCTCTAAGATCTCCTGTTGGTCCAGAATTCTAATTGTGTATCATTTTATATGGGAAAAAATTTAATCTGTCACAACCAACTAAACGATTGGATGAGACTATTATTGTAAATCTAAAGCACATTTCACTCCACCCAAAATAAAGCCACTCCAGAGCAAGCAAAGCGCTTTTTCCTCGAATCCACTGTCTTTGAGAAGGCCAGACACAGTGGAAGGATGCCACCTACAGGCCAGGATTCAACAACTTCAGGAAGTATATCAGTCCTCCCAGTAAGGAGCCCTGCCCTGGTAGTGTAGTGGTCAAGAGATTGGTGGCTAACCAAAAAGTTTAAACCAAAGCTGATCTGCTAGAGGAAGTCGCGACAGTCGGCTTCTATAAAGATCACAGCCTTGGTAACCTTGTGGGCAGTTCCGCCCTGTTCAGGTCACTGTGCATTAGAATTAACTGCACATAGTAATGGGTTTGGGCCTTCCGAGTACCCCTGAACAGTGACAGCATTACCGTATCCTGGTTGGTAGCGTAGTGGTTACGAATCGGGCTGCGAACCTTAAGGCCAGCAGTTTGAAACTACCAGCCGCTCCGCGGGAGAAAGATGAGGCGTTCTGCTCCCGGAAAGATTTACAGCCTCGGCGACCCTGTCTAGGGTCGCTATGGGTCGGAACCGACTAGACGGCACTTAACAACAACAATACATCATGTAAGGAGCTCTGGTAGATTAGTGGTTACGAATCGGGCTGTGAACCGCAAGGCCAGCAGTTCGAAACTACCAGCGGTTCCACGGGAGAAAGATGAGGCGTTCTGCTCCCGTAAAGATTTACAGCCTCGGAAACCCTGTGCAGGGTTGCTATGAGTCGGAACTGACTCCACGGCACTTAAGAATAACAACAACAATACATCACGTATGTAACTTTTCACAAGAGTTGATAAGTCAGTAAATTAGGCTATAGGAACATTTCATCCTCATCCTCGTTTGTTTGTTTGTTTTGGAAAAATAGTTGGCCACACCTTTCATTGACATTTTTGAGAATGACTTTGCCAAACATTCTTCTTGGTTTCCTTTTCCAATTCATTTGATATTAGTTAACTGATATTTGCCATAACTCGCCATGAGACCTCGCCTAAGCATTCTCACTTCCACAAAAATAAAGATAATGGCTAGAAAAATGGTGAATCATTAGTTGTCCCAGTCTAGTAATAATATTGCACAGTTCTTAAGTGTCATTATTATAACTTTCCAGAGAACCACCATGACAGGACCAGCATCTAAGTGACAAAGGAAAGAAGCTACCTCTCGAGCTCTTTCAGCAGGCTCATAATGGGGTTTGGGCTCAGGAGCGTGATAGCTGGGCTTGCTTCTTTCCGGCTGCTGCGGCGGGGGCTGCTGCTGCGGTGGGTGCGGGTGCTGCTGCGGGTGCTGCGGGTACGGCCTCCTGTGGTCATGCTGTAGAGACAGGAGATATGCTTGTTCTTGTTGCAACTGCCTCTGGAGCCTCTCTGCCTGCCGGTGCTCCTCCATCTCCCGCCATCGGTACTCCTTTGGGAGGGAGAGGAGAACACTAAATCTATGGGAAACTGAAGTGCTCATCTCCTTCTATTTATTCTCAACTGTTGTTGTTTTTCTTTTTCCTTAAAAAGTTCACACTTTTTTTTTCCCCTCTTGCTTTTTTTTTTTTAATTAAATAAAGCAAAATGACTGGGATTTTAAGTAGCGTATTACCTGTGGAAAAATCTGACAGCTTGTTGCTAGGGATAATAATCACTGAACAGAGTAAAAGAGAATTCAATTAAATGTCGGTTTCAGTGGCAAAGAGAAGCATAGCACACGCAGTAACAATCCTAAACTTGTACTCCTGATGAGCTTTATGATATGGCATATGTGCTTTCAATCTACAGCCCTCAGAGTATGCTAGTTTGTTCACTGAGTGACGAGTTCGAAACTCTGTCCATGTAGCAAAAAGAGAACAGTTGACTCATTAATGGAAAGCAAACATACACACACATAAACACACACCACTTCTCAGGTAGCCCATGGTTGTTTGACCACAGAGGGCGTCTCCAACAGTCTGGTGATCAGGGGAGTGATGCGTGAGCCCTAACGCTACAGAACAAGACAGATGCGGTGCGTTACCAGTAACATGGCTTGCTCCTGGAGCAGCTGCTGCTGAAGGATTTCCAAGTGCCGCTGCTCCTCTTCTAGCTGTCGCCTGATATACTCCTGTCACACAGAAATTACCCAGCAATCAATCGATCCAAAAGGAAAGCACCAGAACCACCTGAGTGGAGCACCAAGGATCACTGGCCCCAGTCCTCTTCAGTGGTAATTCATTAGTAATGAATAGCTTTACAAATTAAACTACAAAGTATCTACTGCTAAGGATTTTTCAAAGACCTTGGCATTGGTAAGCCTACTAAGTGATGATATGCACTTCAGTGATACCCATGGAGGCATCTGATCTGAAAGGACTTCTGATAGGACACAGCTGTTATATTTTAAAGGAGCATGCCATTCCTCTTAAGGATGGTAAATATCCAAAGAAATCAAAAGTTTAACTCAACAGAAAACCAGAGGGTTCCAATTAATAAATACTTGTTTGAGCTGCAAGGTCAACAGTTCAAGCTCACCAGCCACTCTTCAGAAACCTTATACAGGGTCGTGATGAGTCGGAACCAACTCAATGGCACTTTACAAAAACACTTGTGAGCTGGAGTCCTACTGGAGTGCTGGACTGGATCAGCACTGGACTGTTAACCCCAAGATCAGCAGTTCAAACCCACCAGCCACTCCTTGGAAACCCTATGTAGGGTTATGATGAGCTAGAACTGACTGGATAGCACCCTGTAACAACTCTGAGTTATTATCTCTACCAAAGATAGAGTGACAATTTTTGAAATCTAAAACCTGTATAATATTAAACATGAACTGTACTTTCTCTGATTCACAAGGTACCTGGCATGACTCTGTTCTGAAAGCCATGGTCTGGGAAGACCGGGCCAGGAAGACGTTCTCAGATGAACAGTTTGCCTCCCATTTTTTGAGTCTTTTCATTTATCAAAAGAGTATCAAAAACCTCTTCTCCCAAGTCTCTGTGTGTGTGAGGCTCAAACATTAGATAGGAAATGACTCTGAAAAACGTGGATCCTTTTTTATTAGCAACAGAAGTCTTCCTTTCTTTTCAATAAATGAGAAAACCTAATTGCTCTAAAAGAGGAATAAATGAAAGGTTCTATGAAGAGAAGTTTTATCGGGAAATTCAGATAATTTTTCTTGGGTTTCTACTGTTGACCAGACACTTGTTTGTGACTCACTTAAAAACAAACAAACAGTGACAACAAAAATAACATGCAAGGGGGCTTCAAAAAGTTTGCAGAAAAGTGGAATGAAAAAGTAACAGAAAGTTTTCCACAAAAGATGCTCCACTGTTTATAAACTGAGTTGAAGTTTTACCTAAGCAATAATTCTCACTGGGAGCAAGCTAGAAAATACAGAAATCATAGCATATAAATTTTCTTAGAAACATTTATATAGCAAATTTAGCCAAAAAGCCCACCAGGGGAAGCTTACCTCAGAAAAGGTACCTTGGTTCTGGACTGGACTCTCGAATCTGATTAATTTAACCCTAACTCTCCACAAGAGACGCCATGACAGCAACTGCCTTAACAATCGTCTTATTTAGCAATAGCAGTATTTTCTCATATAACACATTCAGCACAAGCAGAAGACTAACACTCGAGGGAGTTGTGTGGTTAGGTGGGTAGGGAAAAAGGTATAGCTGGTGTGTTATGTGAGTCCAAGTACAGTAATATAAGGAGTTGGATTCCAACCTATTTTTCTTTACATTAAGTAGAATTAAATCGAAACTTCAAAGAAAGCATTTAAACACTCATTTGTTTTCTATCCTCATACTGCAAATACAACTAGAAAAACCACATCCTATCCAAATCATAATGATTCTGACATACAACGAACATATGGAATATAATTACACACATGCACAGCATACACATTTATGCAGAAATGACATGGGGAAATGATCATTTTGCAACAGAAAAAGGAAAGAAGAATTACACTGATTTTTTTTCCCCCCGATGCCCTTTTTTAAACCAGAAAAGGAGAGGAAGGTGTGCTAGTCACAAAATCTATTAACTGACACGAAAGAGTTAAAGGTGACTATTACTATTATGGAGTCCTGGTGTAGCGCTGTGGGTTAATGTGTCAGACTGCAAAGCCCTTTGAACTGCAAGGTTGACGGTTCAAGCTCATCGGTTGCTCCTTGGAAACCCTATACAGGGTTGCTATGGGTTGGAACCGACTCAACAGCACTTCACAACAACAACAATTACTATCATAGGAGTTCTGGTGTGGCGCTGTGGGTTAATGCCCTGGACTGCAAGGTCAGCTTGCACTTAAAGGTTGGCAGTTCAAGGTCACCAGCTGCTCCTTGGAAAACCCTATACAGGGTCACTATGAGTCAGAACTGACTCGACAGCACTTAACAACAACAACATTATTTTTATCATACCTTCTCAGGATAAGCACTGGACAAGGTTGGATTCTAGCACCAGCCACACCTCAGAAACCCTATACAGGGTTGCTATGAGTAGGAACTGACTCAACGGCACTCATGAATCAAATCAAACTTTATTCCTGGATGAGTTAACTTTTAAAAATGTGTATTTAATTTTTCCTGTTTGGAGCGCCCAGTATAAATATAACTAGAGTGTTGAACAAAACAAAACACACACCACACAGCTAAGTGGCAGTTAAATGTCAAAAAAGTAATAGATAAAAGAGTAGCAATGATGCTATTAAAAATTGACAGACACACAGAAAAAGGAGGCACGTGTTTAGCTTTGAGGACAGTACATAATTAAACAAATTTGGGAAGTAACACCATGGTTTATAAGCATGTTAAAAATGAACTTCAAATATGATTTAAATTAGTTCCCATTCTTTATGGTGTGTTTTGTTTTCAATTCAAAGCTCATAACAAAGCATGATCAATACAAAGACAAAAAAGGTTAGTGACTGGAGGCCTGCTGACAACTTACGCAAAATGAAGGAATAGCCAATTTTTATTTGTACAGGCTGTTTAGGAAACAATTAAAATGTTTATATAAAACTGTATGTGGCTTAATAAAGTGTAACATTATTGAAAGCTGGTGTTTCATGGCTGAACGTAATACAGCCATGTTGGTGGTTTTTCTAATCCTACATATGTACATACTGCAATAGTCAATTTAGGCAATGGATAGTTCAAACTTTTCTCACAGGAGATTCTGTATTTTCAGGAGAACCCTGATAGTCAAGGTTCACAGTTTAAGCCAAGCTCGAGAAGATTAGACTATTTGGCGATAGCTTAACTAGTTTTCAAGAAGTTTCTGAAGTAAAACGAGGGACTCAATTTATCAGGATGCTTGCAATGATGTGATTTAGCATTTGAAGGCATCTGAAGTCCTACATTTTTGTGAATATTAGTGTGTAGAGTGCAAACCAAATAATAAATCTCACAAATAGGTTGTAACATTCTTTGTCAACTAACCTGTTCTCTTTCAACTCTCCTCTTTTCTTCTTCGGCCCGTCTCCTCTCTTCTTCTTCTTTTCGTCTTCTCTCCAATTCCTCTAGACGCCTCTTCTCTTCTTGTTCTCTCCTTCGCTGTTCACGTTCTTGCTGCCTTCTGGCTTCACGCTCTCTCCTTTGTTGCTATATAAATACAGATGGATAATTAGCAGGGGTTTCCCGGTTATGATTTTTATGACAGTCTGATGATCAGTTACAGATAGGGAAATTCATAGGCCCCTATCTCTACTGGTCAGTTGTTTCTAAGGTGTCCCTCAGTCCCTAAATCTCAGTCTCCCCCGCAGAAGGTGGAGTGCTCCTATGAAACTGTTTATAAGATAAAATGGCATAAAAAGAAGAAGCAACACATTTGGGAAAAAAATTTGAGTGTTTCCAGACCTAAAATATAACCTACCAAATCACACCAATTAACACATAAAACCTAAAATAACACTAACATTCAGAGCCCTGGTGGGGTTTTGGGCAGCTAACTACAAGATCAGCGGATCAAATGTACCAGTTGCTCTGCAGGAGAAAGATGAGGCTGTCTGATCCTGTAGAAATGTACAGTCTCAGAAACACTATAAAGTGTCTCTATGAGTAAGAAATGACGCTATGGAGGGGTTTGGTTCGCTGTCATGTTCACAGACACAGTTCAAAGTTATGGTGGCCTAATACTGAGATGCTGAGTGTAGTTTCATGGACAGGAGCTTGGAGACCCCACTCTTACTTGGGGTATGCACTGCCTCTTAAAGGTCTGCTGCAAAACAAAATGCTGAACACCAGTTTTGCTTTCCCCCTTTTTGTGTAAAAGCAAAAATTCCCTTTGGATTTCTTTCACTTGAAAAGAAGCAAAAACGCATGAAACAAATTTTCAAACAGCAGAGGGTATCTGTACACCAGACTCGCTCATAAATACAGGACAACATTGCTTTATGAGAATCCCTATAGCGTTTCGTTTCTTATATATAGCAATTATTCCCTGTTGTATACTGTAGCAAAAAGCCCTGGTGACACAGTGGTGAAGTGCTTGGATGAGAACTGATGGGTTGGTGGTTTGAACTTACCAGTCACTCCACAGAAGAAAGATGTGACAGTTGTGTTTCCATAGACTCACAGCCTTGGAAACACTATGGGGCAGTTTTGCTCTGTCACATACAGCTGCTAGAGTTGGAACCACTTGACAATAGGGGGTTTGGGTTTTAGGTGGGCCTATTGTTGACAGCAAGTAGAGAAATGGGGAATTCTTTACCCTTGGGTGTCACTAACAGATTCTCAAAGCCCTTGAGACAAAAGAAAAAGAAACAGGAATAAGACACTACACATGGGGCAAAGAAAAAAGAAAAAAAAGCACACATCAGGGAAAAAGGAAGTGGCATTAATAATTAAAAAAAAAAAAAGCATCATTATTATTGTTCAGTGCCATCAAGTCAGTTCCTACCCACAGCAACCCTGGATAGGGTTTCCGAGAAACAACTGGTTGGTTTGAACCACTGACCCTGTGGTTCGCAGTCCAGTGTTGACCCTACAATGCCACACCAGTTTTTTCTAAATATTCATGATAGTTATCACGATGCTGGTCTTCTGGTGTGGCGCTGTAGGACCTTAAGCACAACAGAACAAAACATTGCCAGGCCTTTACCAACCTCACGATCAGTGCTACGCTTGAGCCCACTACTGCTACCACTGTGCCAATCCATCTCATTGGGGGTCTTCCTCCTTTTTCCCTGACCCTCTACTCCACACCAAGCATGATGTCCTTCTCCAGAGACTGGACCCTCCTGATAATATGTTCGATGTTACAGCAAATTTTGTTACACTGATATTTAATTATTTAACAAGTAAGAAAGTATATGGTAAGATTATTGGGGTAATATTAGTTCAAGTATTTATAATGGGGATAAAAAGTACGCATTTGGTATTATAATTTAAGTATTCCTTCTAAATTTTCTTTCCATCCTCAGCTAGCATTAAGAGTAGACTCTTAAAGATTCCCTGAGAGATTAAAAAAAAAAGTTTTGCATGTGCAATAAATGAACAGATATTATTTGGTATTCTATAGTTGTTGTTGTTAAGTGCCATCGAGTCAGTTCCGACTCATAGCGACCCTGTATAAGGTTTCTGAGGAGCAACTGGTGGGTTTGAACTGCCAAACTTGTGGTTCACACAATCCAATGCTTATCCTACAGCACCACACAAAAAGAACAGACTGGTGTTGATCAGTAGATCCCAATTACAATCACCCCACCGGGGCTAGGAATATCGTTAATTTTTTTCCTAATACTGGTACTACTAAAATTGTGTTTTGCCAACTGGGATAAATGGATGTCTCCACTTTAAATAAAAATTATTTTAAATTCATCCTCGCTAGCTACATTTTCCAAAGAAAAATATCCTTTAAACTTTTCTGTAGAAGCAAAATACATGAGACACAAGATAAAAACAAAAAGCCTTCTAGTAAAAAAAATACAACTGTGGTTAAGTGCCTTCAAGTTGGTTGCGACTCATAGCAACCCTATATAGGGAAGCTTTCTTAAAAACCTTTGAGGGAACAGAGAGCCTCATCTCTCTCTTGTGGAGCAGCTGGTGAGCTCAAACTGTGGACCTTGTGGCTCACAATCCAATGTTTATTGTACCAAGCCAACATGTCCCCCAAAGGTACAATGTTGATGTTGCCATCAAGTCAGTCTCGACTAACAGAGATCTTTCCAAATAGTGACTAGTGAGCTTGAACCACCGACCTTGTGGTTCAAAACAACTTTGGGGTCTAGCACATTAATCTGCAACACTGGTCTCTATTTCTCTGCAACAACAGAGAAAGAAGAAGTGTCCGGAACAGGAGGAAAAAATGGAATATCTGGCTAACTGCTTCCTTTGATAGGACACCAGAAGAAATGGAAGGTGCCTGCTACCATTACTGAATGTTTCAATCAAAGGGTCTACAATTAAGAACCCGGACTAAAGACGGGAAACACAGAACCAAATTTAAAATTCCCACAAAATCCGTATTTCTGGAGCCATGGAATCTGGACCCCTGAAACTACTGCTCAGTGATAATCTTTAATCCTTAAACCAAAAATATCCTTTGAAGTCTTAAAATCAGAAGATAGTTAAGCTTAACTACTATTTTAAAAGTCTGCCTTGAGCATTCTGCTCTTATAAGATCTATATGGAATCAAATTGACAAGAGCAACTCCAAAGATTACACAAGACCCTAAGAATGCAATGAATTTATGTTAATGGAGAAGAGACAACTCAGAAATACAGAGGGAGAATAGTTATACGACCCAAAAGAATGTAATCAATGTCACTGAATGGTGTATGTAGAAACTGAGAATTGGTGTATGCTTTGCTAACAACCCAATTACTTATTAAAAGGAAAACAACACAGGGGAGCACAGTGGCTCTGTTGGCTAAGCACTGAACTGTTCATCACAGGTCAGTCGTTCAAGGCCACCAGCCACTTCAAGGAACAAAGAAAGTTTTACAGCCTCAAAAACCCTATGCAGGGGTTGCTACAAATTGGAACCAACTTCACAGCACTTAACAACAACAGACTGGGGTGTGTGTGTGGGAAGGGGCTATGGTGGGAAGTCTTAATAAGCAATAAACGGAGTCATTCCTCTTCAGAAGGTTTTAGCCTTTCGGTTCCTTTCCCACCACTGTATGAGATATGCCATGATGCAGTAAGATACTGTAAGATCAATAAGAGGAATACGAAGAACTTAGGTGGAATATTTCTTCTATTTCAGTGTTCGCTGTTATTAGGTGCTGTCCAGTCAGTTTCGACTCGAAGCAACCTCACAGGACAGAACAGGGTTTTCTAGGCTATGATCTTTATGGGAGCAGATCGCTATATCTTTCTCCAGGAAGCTGCTAAGTGGGTTAGAACCACTAGCCTTTTGGTTAGCTGCCAAGTGCTCTGTTAAAAGTATAGGAAAAAACACTAGCAATTTCATTCCTATTTTTAGCTATCTTTTAAAAATTGGTCTAATCTGTGTTTTATGATGTACATTATCAGCACAACAGTACATGAGTACACATATATCCATCAGAAGTACATGGTCAATTTTTCAATGACAGGATACATGATGAAAAAACACTCAAGGCTACTACCACAACACCACATGACAATGGACACACTCCAAAACAGCTTTACAGATGTCCTACTGCCATTTCCTTTACACCACAAAGGCTACTGAAAATGCTGCCATCTGAAAGCAAACCCTGTTCTAGTCTCTGTAGCGGACCATGCTGTCATCCTCCTGCTGAAATCAGAGAAGAATCCTCCAGAAAGAGGCAGATGAAGACAAACGCTTGTTAAAGGCAAGTTGCCATGCTGTTGGTCTAGAAGAAGGACTGGCTTTCCTTTACATTCTTGCACACAGCTGGAAGTCCAGTTCCAGTCTAGCATTTGACTCTGATAGGCCTCACAAGTCAAGTTTCCACGGCTTCTCCAGAGGAGTCACAGAGGAAAATCAGAAGTGGAGGGAGAGGTGTGAAGGTTTAGGTGCTGAGCATGTATCAAAGCTGGATCTCCACATTTTAGCTGGCCACCTCATTCAGAACTATTATGGCCTCCTAGTCTACTCAAAGGAGCCCTAGTAGTATAGTGGTTATGCATTGGGCTGTTAACCTCAAGTCAGCAGTTCGAATCTACTAGTTGCTCCGAGAAGAAAAGATGAGGCTTTCTTTTCCCATAATGATGAATCAGAGCCAACTTGACAGCACACCACGATTGTGTACTCCAGGGTAGGATGATCTCATAGTCCCCTCCATTCCTGAGACCCACTCTCATCTCATGTGTCTTCTACCTGTCACCCTGAGCTGTTGTCATCAGAAGTCTCAGGTCATATACAGGCTTTGACCCTGAAGTGACAACATCCACTGACTCAGGGTGGTGGTGTGCCATGGAGTCGGTTCTGACTCACAGCGACACTGCATACAGTTTCCAAGGCTGTAAATCTTTATGAGAGCAGAAACACTCATCTTTTCCCTGCAGAACAGTTGGTAGTTTTGAACTGCTGACCTTGAGATTAGCAGGCCTGACCTGTAACCACCAGCTCCTTACTGTCTCAGAGTAGTAAGCTAAAAATTGCCAAAGTATATGGAATCCAGTTTCTCATTATTTCTAGAGCTGACAT